AAATCAGCCTTAAAGATAAATGCCGACTGTTTCCTTCTCTTAACTTCCTCCACCACCTCATTCAACACCAATACACCATCAACTAGTTGACGTCCTCCCAGGAAAGCTGATTGAGAATCACTGATAATCCCCGGCAAAACAGCTTTAAGTCTATTAGCTAACACCTTTGATAACAACTTATACATACACCCGATCAAGCTAATAGGTCTATAATCCTTTAAGTTCCCAGCATTAAGCTTTTTAGGAATTAAAGTTAGAAAAGATGAGTTCAAACCACTAACCAATCGACCATTCCGATGAAACTCTTTAAAGAAGCTCATAAAATCCTCCTTTAAACTACTCCATGCAAACTTGAGGAAAGAAAAATTATACCCGTCTGGACCCGGAGCTTTAGAGCTTTCACAACTTCGCAGTCCTTCTTCGATTTCCTCCATGGAGAATGGTCGTTCAAGCCACTGTTTGTCCTCTGTAGAAATCTGCTTGAAGTTAACCCCATAAGGCTTTGGTCTATTCCACGTATCTCCTTGGAAAAGCTTGCTAAAATAATTCACCACCTCCTTCTTAACTTGTATTGGTTCTTCCACCCAAACACCATCACACCATAAACCTGTGATATGATTTTGGGCCTTTCTCCCATTTGCTATTCTATGGAAGAATCGCGTGTTTGCATCTCCCTCTCGTACCCAATTGCTTCTTGACTTCTGTTTCCATATCGCTTCTCTCTTCCTCAATATATCCCACATATTCTGAAATCCTTCTTGTCTTTGAAGAATCTCAAAATCATCCAAATCAAAATCTTCATTTTTCAAATCAACAAGCTCAACCTTTTTAACCGCCTGTTCATATTGAGCTTCCATATCCCCAAACTCATCTCGGTTCCACCCCTTTAAAAACTCTTTCAGCTTCTTTAGTTTCTGTTTACACTTATACCCTGCAAATCCATCGACCTCCATTGCGCTCCACTTCTCCTCGATGACCTTCTTAAAATTCGGATGAAGTTGCCAAGCATCCA